ATCAAAAGCACAATAATATCCTTTACTTAGCATCCCAAAATACTTAGATACACATCTAACAAAAATATGTGCAAGAGCTCCATAAGAAAATGACAAAACTTGTAGCGTTAATCAAATGAAGAAGTATTCCATATTCACAGATAGGAGGATTCAGTGCTGTCCAGATGTGAGTTCTTAACAATTTGATCTTAGCTTCCCTACAATCACAATACAAACTCCAGTTTATAGATATTGAAAAAGTGATTCTACAGTTTCTATCCGGAGTAGATAAATCTGGAGAGGAGAAACACTGAGAATAGGCAGCACAACCTTAGTGGAAAGTGACGGTAATCAAGACAATGCGATGTTGGCCCAACAGTGTGTAAGCTGATCACTGGAACAGAACTGAGGGCCCAGAAACAACTGTGTATAAAAAAACTGACTGTTTTCAGAGGAGCAAAAGCAAAGCAGAGTGGCGAGGATGGTCTTCGCCACAAGTGGTGCTGGAACAACTGGACCTCACCTGCAAAAAAAGTGAATCTAGACATTGAACTCGTACCCTGAAAAAAATCAGCTCAAAATGGGTCACAAGCACAAGTGCATGAAACCCCTTGGAGGTAATGCCGGGGAAGAGCTAGATAATAATCTAGGAATGGTGATGACTTTTGTTTAGATTGCTACCAAGGACACGGTACATAAAAGAGAGTTGACAGGCCGGGCTTCATTAAAATTAAAGCTTTCTGTGCTGCAAAAGGCATTATGAGCAAGATAAAAAGGCGAGCCACAGACTGGAAGAACACATTTGTGAGATGCTGTTACCCAGAACTCACAAAGAGCTCTTAAAACTTAACAGAAAGCAGCAGCCTGATTTTGAAGTGGACAGTAGACCCTATTGTAATAGACACCTCTTCAAATAAGATACACAGATGACAGGTGAGCATCTAAAAAGATGCCCTCTGTAATACGGCATCAGGAGAAGGCAGACCAGTCCACACCAGTCAGAATGACTAAAGTCCAAAACACGGCAACACCAAATGGTGTGCCCATATGGAGCCACACGAACTCCCTTTCCTCGCTGGTGCTGCGGCCTCTAAGAAGGTGTGGCAGTTTCTTACAGGATGAAGTATCCTTGTACCCCTATGCGCCAACAGTCATCCTTGGTTTTTACAGATGTATGTGGCAGCTTTATTTGTAATTGACAGAATTTGGAAGTGGCCAAGATGTCCTTCAGGAGATGATTGGATAAACAAACAGTGATCCATCCGCTCTGCACTGACATAGAGCTCTCAAGTCACGAAAAGACACAGAGGACCCTTTCACCTTTATCGTTAAGTGAAAGAGGCCAAGTTGGAAAAGACCTAGAGCTTCCATTACAAGACATTCTGGACAGGACAAAATGTAGGGAGAAAGAAGCAGTTACAGAGGAAAAGGTGAACAGGGAAGATTTTGTTTAGGACAATTAAACTATTCTGCATGATACTGTAATGGTGGATACATGTTATTATGCATTAGTCCAAACTGAGAATGCCCAACACCAAGAGTGAAGCCTGACGTAAATGGGGACTGGGTGATGGTGCTCAGTCAGTGTAGGTTCATCAGAGTGTAACATACGCACCGCTCTGGGCTGGGAGGTACGGGGTGGGGGGCTGGTGCATATGCAGGAGCAGAGCGTGTTTTGGAATGTGTACATTGCTCTCCAGTCCACTATGAACCTAAAACTGCTCTGCAGTCTTTTAATGAAATTTACATGTGCTGTCTCTGAGTATATTGATTTCTATTAATTTTAATATTTAATGAGGAAAACACACTTTCCAGATGAAATTAAAATTGGCCGTTTAGACTCAGTCACTGAAGGATCTCTGCAGAATCCCTGGGTGCTGAGAATACAGTGTGAAAAACCTAGAGCATTTCTTTGGCGCTCTGATGGAAATCCTGTACCGGAACTTGTCCTGTGGTGACGAGCAGTTTCTGTCTCTGCAGAGAAGCCCCCTCCCTGCCAGAAGTGCTTTCTTAGGCAGGTTTTACCGTGTGCTGACGTCTCCCTGCAATTTCTATCCCGCCTTTCCCGGTGCTGGCCGCAGGAAGTGGTCCTGCCGGTAGGACAGAGGTGGCTGGTGTGTGCCGCCTTTTTTCACCCAGATGCCCCATTTCCTGACTGTCCCCCCTGGCAGATTTGCCAAATATCCCAGTTACCCTTCTCTGAGAGCCTGCCACCACCAGTGACTTCCCAAAAAGATGGACATCTGAGTATCCACACGGACTTTGTCTCGCTGCAGAGCTGCCAGGCATGGACCGGCCAAGGTGTATTTTCCTAGTGCCTGTAGGTACACATCAGCTTTGATTCCAGTCTTTTGCCATCGTGACGATGCAGTGAAAAGTAAATGTCGTTTCACAAATATCAATGAATCTAAAACTGCTCTGTAGACTTTTAATGAACCTTATATGTGCAGTCCTGTTCTGGGAAGAGAACGGCGAGGTGGAAGAGCATACGAATGTGAAATTTTATTAAATATTGTCAGTTCGCTTTCTGTAGAGGTGGTTCCATTTTACCTTGGCATCAGAAATTTGCACGAGAATACCTCTTTCCCACCCCGTCTTTAAGATGGTGTTATCCTAACATTTGTATCTTTGTAAAACCTGACACGTGAACACATGCTCAGTCTTTTTTTGGGGTGGGGCAACAGGGTGTCACCATGGAGTTCAGCCTTGAATTCGCTGTGTTCCCCAGGCTGACCTCAAACTTACGGGGATCCTCCTGCCCCAGCCTCGCAAGTGCTGGGGTTACAGGCGTGTGTCCCCATGCCCAGGTTCTCATTTCAGTCTTCATTTGCTTTTCTCTTCATTTTGAGAAAAGTCAAGAATCTTTATCTTTCAGTCTCCCTCTGCCAAACTTCTGTAAGTCTTTCATCCTAGGTGTTCAAAAAATGCACTGTAGTATGTTAATGTGGAGACTTCCTCATCTTTGGTGGCCTAGAAACTTCAGCCTAGAGACTTACGTCCTTCTGTTGTGGAAAATTTCTCATTTTTCTTTATTTCTTTTCTTTTGTTTTCTTTATTTTCTCTGGAGCACTTTTTCATTTCTTTATTGACTTTCTTTGCAGCTTGGATTTTAGTTTGTCTTCTTACCCTTTTGCTTACTTTTTAAAAACTTCAGTAATGGTGGCTGCACGAAATTGCAGCAATCAGAGCAAACTAATGTGAACACAGCCCGCGGGTGAGGACGACTTCATGTGAGTTCACTGCCAGACTCGGTGCATCAGTCTGGTGGGGACATGGGCAACGGGGGCGCGGGGGAGCGGGATGAGGGGGGATCTGCCCGCTGTACACACTCTAAAAAATGTCCGTTTTCAAGGGAAAAATTTTGGCAGTCATGTTTTAAGTTGTGAAGCTACCTGCTTTCTTCTTACCTGATTTTTTAAACACCCTTTTCCCCGTGGGTATAAGGACATTATTCGAATATCATCAATTAATACTCTAGGTACACAAGTAGAGCTTTGAAAACGCTCTCTGCTGTTCCTGACACTGCAGTCTCATGTGCTGTTATTTGCTGCTTACCTCAGGTTTGTAGATGGACAACAGAAAGCTGAGAAAGAGCTCTGAGTAGTGAGGCCAGGCAGGCAGTCAGGCAGCCCACGAGCAGCATGGCTTGAGTTATGCCGGGGAAGCCCTGGGCCCAGCCAGTGAACCTCTTAGTTCTAGGGCAGCGGCCTCACGGGGTGTGTGCTTGACTTTTCTCTAATTTGTCTCATTACTCCCTGATATCACCTCTGGGAAACACTCGGCTGCTTGGTGTTTCATGTCCTCTTAGAGGCATTTTGAAGGAAGGTATCAGCTGATCCCAGCAGAAGTTAAAACCATTCCACTGTTTTCAGATTGGTATTTCACTCTGCCATGACTGAACCAGGTATAGCGCAGGCTTTAGCTTTCTGATGGTCCGCTAGGCATGTTGGCCCCTCCATGCCGTGGCCCATCTCTCCTGCCTTGGACTGCTGCCTCCGCATCGTTAACTCACCTGTGCTCCGAGGCTTTCATCTGTGAGCTCCCCTTCCCATCTGCTGGACTGAGAGGGGTCACAGCTTTCCATTCCCTGCAGCGTTGGGGTCGTAAAAGAAGAGAGCCACACATGGCCCGTTACCCTCTTGAGGCAAAATACCTCATCCCTTCAAACTGTGTTTTCCCTGTCTCCCCATGCCCTTTAGTTCTTCTATCAACTCTCTGATTTGATTATAATAATAGCTGATTTTAGCCAGGGCAGTGAGTGCTACGCCCTCTTCAAACCCACAGAAGGTGACTTCACCAAGAGCTTAGAACTTGCAAGTGGTGAAACGTGTCACCCACCTAACCAGCACCGTCGTTTCTCCACATCCACTGTGTGTCTGATTTGTCCTTGTGTTTCTCTCGCATCCTAATTCATTCTCATTAGCTAAGGTTTGTCCTGGAGCCTAACACCCACACTTAGTTAAAAAATGTATGTTTTTGTTGTTGAATAACAGTTTCGGTCTTTCTGATTTGTCTTAGTAAGGTAGATCATTGCTTTTTGAAGAGAACGTTAATGACAAAGAATGTTAACAGTATTTGCCATAGTCATTTTTGTTGTTGTTGTTGTTGTTCTTTTGCTAAGTCAAAAAGAAGAATTGGAGTAAAGGTCTAAATTCATCAAATATTAATACTGATTAAAAGGGAAGTTTTAAAAATAGGTATATTTAAAGGCATTTGAAAGCGTTCTTTACCAACCTTGTCATTTAGGTGTGTGTTGGTTTGAAGTTAATTTTTCCTTTTAAAGTGATGATATTGCAAATACTCTAATTTTATTTACTTTTATTTAAACACGCTGAAGGGGAGAGTATACAGTCATGTGTGTGTGGTAAGGAATACTGCACTGTTCATTTTTCTGACAAGACTAATGTCAAGCATGCTAGTTCCATTTCTTTGAGATCATTTACAGAAATATAATTAAATGCTTACTTAAGAAAGCAAGTTCTGGATAAGTGTGAAGATCATATCTTCTATTTTAAAAACAGGAGCAGATGTCTCAAGTATTAGATGCCATGTTTGAAAAATTGGTCAAAGAAGGGGAACATGTAATTGACCAAGGAGATGACGGTGACAACTTTTATGTGATTGATAGGTAAGTTTGGCCCAGCCTCACTGCTGATGTTTACGGTATCTTCTGTGCTAAATGTCAGTGGTTATTGTGACAGCCAGACAGTTACTCTTACTGCTTACTGACTACACTAACTGGTAGTACAAACTCGTTGTGAGTACATGTGATAGAACCATGTACCTATGAAAAAAGCGCTCATTTATAGAGAAATTGCTGGGTTTGGGTAATCTGTAAATCTCAGTCAGTAGTGTGAGCTTCCTTATTTGGACAATTCAGTTTGGAAAATAGCTTGTAACAAGCAGGGAGCCAGTGCCTATTAACAGTGAGACTAAAGCTAAAATACAATGTACAGGATATTAGAGTAGAACTTAGTACGTATTACTGTTTTTAACAGGCTCTTTTTAAACTGTAAAGTAAACATGCTCATGATTAAAAGAGTTCAGGTATTTCCAAGATAATCAGTCTGCTTCCTACTGCTTCAGCCTCACCGAGCAATAGTGAGCAGTCTGTGTGTCTTTGCCGTTGTTCAATCCTTGTCCTATTTGTTTTATTTGTCTTTTAAAAACTCTTAAGAGAGAAACTTTTATTCAAATAAGAAGTTACACTTTGCTATTCAGGAAACTTAATTTGCATTTACTTCATCGGAGCACAGTGTGCTTTCTGAGGTAGGTGATGACAGGGGGCTGCCTGCAGTCTGGGTTCCCTTCCGTGAAGTGACCTTGAAGCATCCCTGTGTTGCAGTCAAAGCTCCGCAGCCCGACTTCCTTGGGTGGGGTGTGGGAGGCCTTGGGAAGCCACACCTCTCCTGAGCCCCCGCCTCACTTCCTGGCGGGGCTCCCTGGCATGGCGGTGTCTCCCCATCAGGCATGCATGCGCCTGCCACAGTTCCCCAGCCCCCTATCCCGGTGCCCAGAGGCCTCTTCCCAAAGCACTCGCCAGGATCTTGAAGTAGAACAGAACTGGTTACCCCATATGTAAATCAGGATCGTGATTTTAACAGCTTTCGTCAGTGAAACAGCTTAGAAGTTGACTCAGCTGTGATGAACTGGAGGGGACTCTGAGAACCCCGAGGAGCGTGCGGTGTTAATCTTTCCATAGTGGGTATTTTTCCTCTCAGAACTGCCTTAAGGCTGAACATAGTGTGTTCACCCGTTGACAGGTGAAACATCCAGGCATGCAGAAACGAGAGGGCTCAGTTCAGGTCACCCAGCCGGTCTGAGTGGAGGACCCGACGCCCCCACTGTGCCACCCCTGCCAGCGGCCTCCACTGCCTGCCCTTTGAGTCCTTTCCCAGGGTCCGTGCTGCTGAGGCCTTGCGTTATCAGGGACAAAACCTGAATGAAAAGCACCCCCCAGTATTTTACCAGAAGTGAAACCCATGCAATTTCAGCTGAACTGGTCCTTCACTGTACTTACCAGTGCATTTTGCTGTCTGTTTGATGCTGTTCAAAGTGGTAAGTGTAGAGGACAGTTTCAGAAAAAAGTATAGTTGGTATAAATGGAAGAGTTCAGTTTGCACTTAAAAATAACTGACGCATGGAACAACTCCAGAATGTATCCCTGAAATAGTGATTCTGTCCATGAATTACATTCAAAACCCAGTGGCTGTATTTCTTCCTTCTTCAGTGATGTCTTCTGTGCTGCCTTACGTTTCTCTTCTTTTTGTGTTCTGCCCTTTGTAACCCTTTTCTCACCCTGAAAGTCACCACCTTTCTTGCCCTCTTTTTTGTCCCTGTTACGGTTTAGCTAGCAGGGTAGAGATGCTCTGTGTTTTCTCAGGTGCTTCAGCAAGGCTTGCATCCGGTTCTCTCTGCTAAAGTGCAGTACGTGGAGAGGCAGCCGCTGCACCCTAAAGAGTGTGTAGAAGTGTAGGCCCGGGCCAATGTGGACAAGCAGTGGGATCTTGTTCACCTCGAAGAAGAACCTCAGTTAAAAGATACGCAGAAAAACTATACATTTTAGAGATGAGGATCCTATATTTAGTCTGGATTTCTGTTACTTTTTAATTCTAGATTGAGAGGTTAATCTCTAGTTAAGGGCCAGATTGTATAAAGAGCCAGAGTAAATATTTGAGGCTTTGTGGACTAATACGATTTCTGTTGGAAGTATTCAGCCCTGCCAGTGTGAGCAAACCAGGCATGCATAATGCATAAAGTAACAAGTTTGTTTGTATTCCAATAAAATTGCTTATTTTAAAAAGAAGGTAGCCAATCTTTGGGCTGACCCTTGCTATCAGTTATAAAGGCCCTTAAGTGAGTTCTGCAGAATAGTAGCTAACCAAATTATTATAGCTCTGTTCTATAAAAAGAAAGGACCTTTTCTTCTGATCACAAAAATAATACGTGATCATCCCTGAAATTTCTCACTGTTTCTATGCTGTAAGTACAGTGTTTGATATATGCAGTCTCATATTTTTGTCATGTATCGTATTACCTTAAATTTGTGCTGTTTCGTTCTCTTTTGCAGCAGGCATGTGTTGGCCCCTGCTCTAGTGTAGCTGGTGGTCTCCTCATGCTGGCTGGGACAGATTGGTCCATGTCAGGCCCTTTTATTACTTGTCATCGGGGCAGATAGGTTGGGAGTATGCTGTCACTGCACAGCGCTCATTTCTGAAGTAGTTTTAGTACAGTGAGATTTTATTTGAATTACCCTTGCCTGTAATTTGCATATGTTCAACAGAGGCACATTTGATATTTATGTAAAATGTGATGGTGTTGGAAGATGTGTTGGTAATTACGACAATCGTGGGAGTTTTGGCGAACTGGCCTTAATGTACAACACACCCAGAGCAGCTACAATCACTGCTACCTCTCCTGGTGCTCTGTGGGGTTTGGTAAGTAAAATATTTATTTGACCTAAATGTTGTTATTTGTAGAAATCATTATGACTCCAGCTAGCTAGACGCTGTATTTCAATTTCAGTAGGTAGGTTTATTGGAATCCCCATTAGTCATTGGGGAATTTACTAAGCATCTACTGGATCCTGAAGGGTTGGGCACATACACTGTGCTAAGTGAAAGCTTCCTGTCCCCATCTTATTGCAGTCAAGTCTGGAGCTTATGATCTGCCAGCCCCGAGAAAGGTCCCAGATCCAAAATGCTCTCCTCACCCACTCTTACAAACAGCCCTTCAAACAAAGGCTTGGGTGCTTTTTCTCAGATAGCTTTCTAAGTGCCATACTGCAGTCTTACAAATCGAGACTCCCCTGATACCGTGATCACGTGGGAACTTGTTAGAAATGCAGAGTCCAGGGTTCCATGCCCTGCCTCCAGCCTGTGAGTCAGAGACTCTGAGGAGGGGCCCAGCAGTCTGCATTTGAGCAAGTCTTCCAGGTGATTCTGATGTAAGCTAGTTTGAGAAACCCCCTAAAAATGGCTTCTCATGGTGGTGTCTGTTGATCGGTAACACCTGTATATTTCTCCCTACAGAAAAAGTGTTTCTTACCTGGCTACATACCAGAATTACCTTGTTTTTTTTTTTTTTGCCTTTTGCCTAGACCCTGCCGCAGACAGATTTAATCAGAATCTCAGCAGTGGGCTCTGGACATGAGTACAAGTTGAATATCTTTAATTGAAAAATCTGAAATGCTCCAAAATCTAACACTTTGTAAGCACTGACAAGAGGCCACAAATGGAGAATTCCACATGTGACTTCATGTGACAGGCCACAGTCAAAACACACATTACAGATATTTTCTAAAATTAGCTTAAGCCTACACATACAAGGTGTTTGGGAAGCATAAATGAGTTTAGACTTGGGGGGCTGGGGATTTAGCTCAGCGGCATAGGCACCTGCCTTGCAAGCAGGCGGTCATGAGTTCGATCCCCGGTACCAATGAAAAAGAGAAAAAAAAAATGAGTTTAGACTTGGATCCCTTCCACCAATTATTACAAAACTTGAAAAAAAATACAATTTTCGAAACTTTTCTTGTCTCAAGCATTTCAAATATAGTGTACTCAACCAGTGCCTCTGAATAAAACCCCAGTGGTAGTACAAGACTTGAAAGTTGGTTTCAAGTCATTGTATTCTGGGAAGAAATAGAGTAGGGAAGGAGATTGTTTTCTCATGTGATAGTAGGATGCAAAGGATCAGCTGCTAGGAAAGCCGATTCTGAAAGATTGTATCAAGATTCTGAAAGATTGTATCAAGTGGCGACTTTCTCTGACTTTAATGACCTGCAGATCCTCTGCCAGTCTGCAAAGCAGAGTTGATCCTGGGAGTCGGCTGAGTCTGTAGTCTGCTTTTCTCAGCAGCTCCTCTAGATAGAGTTGCCTGTTGTCAGGCCTCACTTTAAGCTGCATGGATGTAGGGCAGTGTTCACAATGCATACATTTGCTTTAAATTGCTGAAAACAGCCCACCCTATAGTAGCCCAGCTTGACATGCATTTATTAGGTTATTTTTTGCGACATTGTTTTATGGAAAGGGAAGCAACTGATATAAATAGGAAATTTGTTAATTGTCTCATTTCCAAGGACAGTAGCCTTATAGAATTTGCACATTACTTAGCTCAGTGTTTGACTCATAAGTAGATTCAGCTGATAAAAATATCTCACTCTGAGAAATAAGACATTTTGCATTTTTCTCTGTTAGAACAAGGCAGTTACTGTATGCTTCCTTAACATGTGATGAGATACATTTTTAAGTTGTAGAAAAAGACTGGAATTGTTGCAGGTGGAAGGAAACTCATCATCTGAAGTGTTTCAAGGACTCCCGAAGATCTGAGTCCCCAAAGCTAGCGGAGAAAATCTACACTAGAGCAGACCTTGGCTCCCATTAGGTGTCTGGGTGCCCTCATGTGGTGGGAGGAGTCCTGTTCAGTTGAGAAAGGTGTAACCCGGAGGGGTTGCCTGCCTGGTCAGATTGTTACCCATTGAGAAAGCCTCCTCTGGTAGTGTGGGTGTGAGAGAAACTATTTCCGGGTCAGCCCCATTGAATATTGAGGCTTCAGTTCTGGTGGAAACCTTAATTAGGTAGAGAAGCTCAGGATTTCCTAGTGTACATAATAATTAAGCTCTCCAAAAATATTTTAAAGTACTTTTTAGTAGTCCAGACATGTTGTTAAAGTGTACAAAGGGGGCAGTTCGTGATAATCATCTTTTGGTACATGTATAAATACAGTAGCTTTTTAAAAATAATGCTATTCAGGGCTGGGGATTTAGCTTAGCAGCATGAGTGCCTGCCTAGCATGCACAAGGTCATGAATTCATTCCCCAGAACCAAAAAAAAATTGTCATTTAACATAATGACTTAATATTTTAACCTGCTTTAGCAAACTCCTCTTAGAGAAAGTTGAGTAGAAAAGAAAATTGTAAGATTAACAAGACTGGAGTGCCTTATAGAAATGCAGGAATAAAGATAAGTGAATTCCGAGAGAAAAGTCTTTATTGAAGAGCCTTGCTCTGTTTGGGTACTGTCGGCTGATCTACATGGCCCTGCTGAGGACGGAGAGAGGCCGTGACGTGACTGAGATGAAAGCATGGCAAGCTGGACTTGCTGGGCTTTCTGTGTCACAGCAGAAGTGAAGGGTGGACCATCACTGGGATGTTCTTCCTGAAACATGTAACCCATGGTTATTTCTAAGGTGCTAAACTATTTCAGGTCTTCTTTGTTCTGCAGTAGACTGTATCCATAAAATGGTGGTATACTTGGTTCCCAAATGTGATTATATAATCAGAATCACATTCTGATTCTGGAAGACGTCTATCAAGTAGAGATCATTAAACCTAGCATGCAGAGATTCTGATCCTAGATTAAAGTCTAAGATCTCAGAACTGACTATAGCTGATTCTGCTGCAGGACTACATTTAGAATTGATTGCAATATTTTTAGAAATTCCCTTACAATTTTTTCTTTTCGAGAAGTTATTAAGAAGTCACTAAGTCCACAAATTACAAGCAGTATCAAAATTGGTAATGAACTCAAATAGGAACCCAGCAGGCTGTTTAATTTATTAGCATCTTAGTCTGTGAGGGCCGCTGTAACAAACTCTGTAGCATGAGTGGCTCACCAGGCAGTCGTTCTCAGTTCTGGAGGTCAGGAAGCCCAGAAAATGTGCTGTCTGGCCAAGGCCTGCTTCTGCTTCAGCAGTGACCATCTTCTCATGCTGGCCTTACTTGGTGCAGGAGGCAAGGCAGGTCTCCAGGGCCTCTTCATAAGGACACTCGTGACCTCATCGCACAAAGACCCAACCTCCAAATCCGTAATGTTAAGGGTTAGACATTCAACAGAACAATTTTAGGGGAACACAAACATTGTGTCCTTCACACTTAGATATTTACATCCATGCTGCAACTTCCTACCAGTTACTAGGGATTGAAACTGGGACCTTTGCACTTTGGCTTTCTTTTTTTCCTTTTTGATATGGAGAAGTCTCACTAAGTTGCCCAGGTTGGTCTTGAACTTGTGATCTGTCTGTTTCAGCCTCCAGAGTGTTAGCATTAGTATACAGACTTATACCACCATTCCTGGCTAGAATTTTTCTTCAGCACACTGTAGTACATTTAAATTCAGCTTCAATATGTTTGCATAATAACATCTTAGTTTTATTAAAATGATGTAATTATTTATCAGTGGATGACAAACTGTGTAATTAATGGGGCTTTCATTGAAGAATTACAATAATATTTTGTGAGAATTTTTTTAAATAAAATTTTAGAGAAATAATTTTTGAGCTATTCTTAAAAATTTGTCTAGCTCCTTAATTAATTCTGCATCTTTGGGATTGTGTAATGTGAACATAAGTAAGGATTTTAGATTTTACACATGATAAATACAGCATGATATCTTATTCAAGAAAGTGTGGTTCGCTGTGTGTTCATGTGTTAAAAAGGAAAATTCTAACACACTATCGATAAGGAAAGAACCTACAATGAGTATACTTTCTCATGTCCTCTCTTACATTACTAATTTATGATTAAATTTTTTTCTATTAGCATTTTCCTATGATTTCTATTCTACATTAGGAGACACATAAGAATCATTATGGCTGTACATGTGTTACTGTGTCTTTGTATGTGCATAAAATAATTAACAGCCATACTCGGAGGGATTCACTCCAGGATTTTCAGCCCTACTTTAGGTTTTACTAAAATGCTGGTCACGTCCCACCCCTTTGGGCTGCCACAGAGGAAGCCAGTGCTATTTTTTACAGTGGTGTGACAGCGCCTTCTTGTGGTTCTAATGTGTAGGTCAGACTTGCTAGGACTGTAAAAGTAAATTGATGCTTCCTTCCTTTGTAAGAAAATGAAATTATTTTATAAGGTTCTGTAGTAACATTTTGTGCCTGAAGAAATAAATATCTGGACTGAGTTGAATTAAAAGTATAATGATGTTAATCTTGTTTTTTGAAACCTTCAGTTATTATTTCTTGTAGGGAATAAAACTATTTGTTCCGAATTTTTTCCACCATAAATTTACCTTGTAACTTTTCTTTTTTATTCTGCCTTTAGGACAGGGTAACCTTCAGGAGAATAATTGTAAAAAACAATGCCAAAAAGAGAAAAATGTATGAAAGCTTTATTGAGTCACTGCCGTTCCTTAAATCTTTGGAGGCAAGTATATATTTATGCTTTTATTCTACTTGAAAAATTCTGTCTTGTTAGGAACAGTTAGTTCTACAGAAAAATTTCTTTGAATGAAAGTGCATTGGAAAAGACCATATGGTGGTGTTAGCTTTTATAATTCAGCATTTTTTTCACTGCCTATAACTAAATTTGTTTTATTTATAAGTAACAGACTCCTATCCAACATCCATAGCAAACTTTGTATGTGACTTCTAGCTAAGAGCAGGCTTAAGCATGTAAATGCCGGCAAGTTGAATCCTACAGGGAGGAGATGCCTAAACACTGAGTGTCCTCACCCATTTAATCTTTACTGTTCTTCTTTTTGCCTCTTAAAACTAGTATCTCAGGCCCGCCCTCCCGCTCCGTCCCTCCCTCCCTCCCTCGCCTCCTCTCTGGCTACAGATGCTCATTCACTTGGTGAATGTGTCAGATCCTATGATCTTGCATACTGTGTATCGGCTGTTACCTTCTAAAATTGCCGCTAACGGATATAACTTCTCCTGCCAGGTGTCGCATAGACATTGCAAATCTGCCCCGCCCCAGATTCCTGGCAGTGCCATCCTTTTAGTGTCTCAAGGCAGGACCCTTGGAGTTTGCACTTCATCTGTTTTCCCCACCCGTGACCAGTCTGTTAGTCCCCTTACGTGCCCTATTTTTAGACTATGTCCAGAATCTGGTCATTTCCCACCAACTTCACCTGTCTGGTGTTGCCTTCTGTCTGGGCCCCTCTTGCCTGGCTCATATCAGCTGCCAGCAAAGCTGTCTGCTGCCCAGATCCTGGAGCACTGTGCCTAACGCCCTCCGCACAGGACTCGCGGGCCTCACCCCGCTTTCCTCTGCCGCCCTCTCATCACCCCTTCCCGGACATGCAGCTTCCTGCTGCTGCACACAGCCGCAGCTCGCGCCTCCTTCGGGACCTGCATAATCGCCATCTGTCCGCACTGTCCTCCCAGTCGGTCCCGCGGCTCGTTCCCTCATCTCCTGCGTTTCTTGGCCCAGATGTCTTGTCAATGAGACCGCCTGCTTGTGTTTTTATCTCTGAAAGTGGAAACTTGGAAAGAAGAGTCATTACCCTAAAAATTCAGCTTTACTTTCTTTCCATACATGACTGTTAATGCCTTTCTAGACTTCAGTTTCCTATTTGAAATATTTTAGAGTAATTGAAGAGGGGTGGGGCACGTCTGTGTACCTGCAACATCTTATGAAATGGCAAGTGTCAACACAAGAGCGCTTCTTTCTAATGTCTGTCGGGTTGTCAGGTCACGGCCAGTAGAATTCTGGCTGCATTACTGAAAGCATGTTAGGCAGCCGATCTCCAGCAACTTAGTTCTTTAAATAGAAATGGATTGGGTGGAAATCCAATGCCTTCGGACCCAGGCCAGTAACATAAAGAAGAAAACCAAGCCAGGACGGGACTGTGGTGAGCTGGAGAGCACGTGCTCCCGCTAGAGAAACAGCTGCTGTTCACCATAGTTTATTGTTGCCATGTGGAAATTTGGGCTGAGTTGCTGAATCTTCTGCTTTTTCAAGAGAAGCTGGGATTAAAAATTTGTTCAAGGTGCTTGCAATTAATGTAACACACACACGTACAGCTACACACTGTGGAATGGTTTTGCTATAGGCTACCACTTTCCAACTTGTGTAATAGGTAAGATTACCCAGTTATTGTGTATCTGTTTAATATTGTCTTCTTTTTTCTCTTTTGGTAGGTTTCTGAACGCCTAAAAGTGGTAGATGTGATAGGCACCAAAGTATACAGTGACGGAGAACAAATCATTGCTCAGGTATAATTCCTTTTTTTCTTGTACTGAGGATGAAACCCAGAATCTTGTACATACTAGGCAAGTGCTGTACCCCTGAACTACATCCCTGGCCCTTAAATACTTTTAAGTGTAGTTCAGTTTAGGATTTTACTCCAACAAAATATTTCTATACATTTATGTCTCAGTAAGCTTTGTATCTATAGGTAGAGTTTAATAGTAGGTTAAATGAATGTTACTTCTACCAAATGCCTGTAAAAATGATTTAATTACAGCTCTTAAACTATTTGAATATTTTTGCTTATATGACTAGGTCCTGATGTACATGTATTAAACCATTAAATGGCTTTTTTGCATAGTTTTGTAATACATGACACGAAGCTCACATGTGTATAAGAGTAAGATATCATTTGTAAGAAGAGAAGGAGGTCCGTGTTCTATGAGATTAGTAGAAAGCCCTGAAGTCTGTGGGAGATAAGAGAGAGTTCTCCTTGGTCAGGCCTAGTCCGGCCCTGATGAAACCTCCTGAGGCTCTGCAGATAACATTCACCAAGCTGTGGATGCGACACTGCTTACTATGCCAGCTTCCAAGTACTGAACATTAAATGAATTTGTTCTTTAGCCCCTAACACTTTCTTAAGATCCCATTTGTAGCCAATAATATTACATACCTCAGTTAGCACCGGGCTACTAAAAAGTAGGATGTGAAGTTGGTTGAAGTTCACAGCTTGCAGACAGCAGTACTCTATTTCCTAGGTATATTTTTTGAAGCAGTGAGCAAATGATTTAAGTGGACTTTTAATAGATGCTATGGTTTGTTTTTAATTACAGTGTTGCATTGCATTGTGCTCTTTATCTGGATTGTCTCTTCTTTATATGTGAAACAAGATTCAAGGTCTGTAAGACAAAAGGAAGAAGCCATTGTGCAGAGGCAAATAAGTAACCTCTCAGCCTCCCTCGTTACACAGAATTATACGTGTAGGTTTGTGTATACTGGATTAGAGCAGTCAGGGTTAGGAAGAAGTGGAGTCAAAATGGAGAGCTAAGCTGAGATTCTACTCTAAACTGTCAAATAACAAAGGATAGAGCACTTTTTAGATGCTTGTTTGTTGTTTGTTTCTTGGTGCTGGGGATTGAATCCAGGTCCTCAGACATGCTAAGCATGTGTTCTATACTGAGCTACACCGAGTCACGTAAATGCTTTTTAAAAGCCTCTGATTGTGAAGTGCAGATTTACTGGCTGTTTCAGAGGTAGTACTAAGGGGTTTCATATACTCCTCACCCAGATTTTCCCAGTACATCTTGTATCACTCTTAGTGGTACAGTCTGGCTTTACTCAGGTTTCATTAGTTTGTTTGTTTTGTCTTTTTCCTTTTTATGAGTACCGGGGATCAAACTTATGACTGCCTGCTTGCAAGGCAGGCGCTTATGCCGCTGAGCTAAATCCCCAGCCCCAGGTTTCACTAGTTTTATGGCCATTTGAACGCATTCCATCAGCAGCTGAGAGGTTTATTACGATTTGTAACACTTGAAAATTTACTGTGAGGCTCTTAAGAAAATGATGTAAAATAGAGGAGGCCCAGAGCTGCACCTCAGTGGTAGAATTAGCATGTGCAAGGCTCAGTCGCCAGTGCATGCACATGTGCACACACATGTGCACACACACATACATGGAGGAAAGGTGTGCTATGTTTAAGGTTTATTAAGGGTGCTTTTACATTTATAGTTATCTTTTAAGCATTTATAGTCATATATCTGTACTCTATTGTAGAAATCTAGATTCAGGATTCATTTTTGTGATATAACCAGAGAAGGTTTTTAAAAACGTATGTTTCACCAGGGATATAGGTAAGGGCACAGGGTAAGGGTCTGCTTGGCAAGCACAAGATCCTGAATTCGATTTATAGTACCAAAAACATTAAAACAATACAAATCTGTGTTTCTGCAGAATCATTTTGACAGGCTACATTTTAAAAATGTATTATTACTCTTTTTCCATATTAGTTCAGAAAGCATCTTTGGAAGTCAAGGCAGAATTCATTGAAAAACAAAACCAAGAAAGAAAATGGATATGTAGTTAGAAATGGCATCAGATTTTAGATTTCAGAAGTTTTTTAAGGCCTCAAGGTGGCATTTCGGTTCAGTTCTCATCTAACTGCAGCGAAGTCCTCAAAGCTCACCTCCATGCTCCCTGTGCAGCTGGGGGCTTTGTGCCCTTTGGGGCCGATGGTGAGCCCATCTCAGGTCAGCACTGGTTACTGAAGGACACAGGCTGTGCATTCTAGCACTTTCCCAGGGTGCAGAATCAGCCTGTGGTTTCCTGAGGTGCAGGGACCCACTAGGTGCACCCCAGTGTTGCCGTTTCTCTGTGTGCTAAGTCAGGCCGAAACTCAGGGAGACACTTTTACCCCAGTGTGATTTGCTGTACTTTCTTGGCTTTTAGCAGAAATGCTGTGTTACAAGAGTATTATTATTTCAACTGATTTTACATGTGAAACTGTTACTACAGAATAATCCCCATCACCTCTCAAATTAGAAAGGAAATAGACTGTTCCCATGGAAATCACTTCAGGCAAATCTCTGCATGGGGTGGACTGATTTCAAGACATCTGTCAGATACATTTGCATTTCATTGTTTTTGTTGTTTTCTTCTGATAGGGAGATTTGGCTGATTCTTTTTTCATTGTAGAATCTGGAGAAGTGAAAATTACTATGAAAAGAAAGGTAAGCATTCTTAAATCCTAAAAACGTCTACATAATCATGGCACACAGTGGGCTTTGTTTTTATGTTTATGCTAAGGTTAACTTTTATTTTTGAAATAAAATGAGCTGAGTAAAAGTTAACATTTGTACTTCGTCAGGGTAAATCAGAAGCAGAGGAGAATGGTGCAGTAGAGATCGCGCGGTGTTCTCGGGGCCAGTACTTTGGAGAGCTCGCCCTGGTGACCAACAAGCCACGAGCTGCTTCCGCGCACGCCATCGGGACCGTCAAATGCTTAGGTAGGGTCACAGTGCACGGCACCGAGATTGTTATGCCTGTATATTATATATTTATGTTGTACAAATCATTTTACTGGGTTCACGAATGTTGTGATCTCTACCAAATACAGTAAAGTTAGGACTCATTGCATTAGAAAATCAACTTGTGGAAGCAATTTTCTTCATTGAAATTTTTTACACACAAATATAGTTAGTTCTTTTGTATATATATTAAATAATACCTTGTTTTAATAATTGAAACTAAAGCTCCAACTACCAAGTTTTATAGCTAACTTGTCACATAAACCTGTGAAGTGCGCTGTTAAGCTCTTTGGGATAAGCGGGAGCGTGCGTGGGAATACTGTAGATGCTCAGCTGAGCACTGGTCCACGAAGGATGAGGTTTGTTGAAGCTTCCTCAGATGTTCTTTGTTGACCAGCTGGTTATTACTTTCTTCTAGTGCAACAGCTTGGCAGCCCTGTCAGCTTTAGCTGGAAGACATCTATATGTAATGAGATTCCATATCCAAGAAATCAAATCAATAGTGAAAAATCCTGGAAGTGACAACATAGATGACATTTTCTTTCAGAAAACTGATTCCAGACTAATTAGCCTATTCATGGTTTTCATCCCCAATTCAGTGGGATGAACTTAGTGTTCTTGTTTTTAAGATTTGCAAGGATTGTCAGAATTAACTTCTTAGAGAAGTCACTTTTTAATTAAAAGGTTTTAGATGCGGGTATTAATCAAGTGATACACTTGGATGAAAGAGAAGACAATTAGAACTGACAGGCAATTTCCCTGAATAGAACTGTTAGACAGTAAGAGTAAAAGTAACATAAGTGAAATTCTATTACTCTTTTCTATAATAATCACATTAATATTCAAGACAGTTTGAAAGATACAGAAAATAATAGGAAAAAACAGAATCACTCACACCATCTTCACCCCTCAGTGATTTGCAGTATACTAATTAATTTTTATCTTTTTTTGTATGACTATTTTTCTCTTTTAAAGCAATTTTATAAACTGCTTTGTTCATCCATTATAGCTTAGGAATTTTATTTTATTACATCAAATGTTTACATTCTAGTAGGTAAATATTATACATGATAAATTATTCAGTTAATCCCCACTGGTAAATATTTCACAGGTTTTAGCTCTCATTTGTTTTTGCATGTAGATGACTTTCATATGTTGGATTTTTCCTTAGAAATGGCTTTCAGAAGTAGATATTTTAAAATGATGTTAGGAACATATTATCAGATCACTTAATTTGTAATAATTTATATGCCAGTAGCTGTGCAAGCTTGCCCATCACCTTATTCTTACAAAACTGCCTCTACCTTTATAAATTTGAAAGGCAAAAAAGATGTATTTCAGTGTATATTTCTGTGATAGATAGTATAGCTACATTTTTCTGTCTGAATCTAACCCAGTTTTCAAACACATAAGACAGACGAGCTATAATTAATAGCACATGATTACAGAAGTGGACAAAAGCATTGTATTGGCAGCCACTCTGAGCAGCAGACAACGGTGTGAGTAAACACTATGACACGTGACATTCGGTGTTCACGACATTGTAACCCTGAGAATGAGACAGGAACACACTCCCTGGCCACTTTTAAGGGTTCCTGTTAACCAAGATAGAAACATCGAAATGTACATTGGGGAAGGAGTTCCCAGGCCTCGCTGATACTTTCCGTCTTCCCAGGTGAGATCAGGAACTTGCACCAGCCCAGCACTGCAGCTGCTGAGACTTGCGAGCGTGGCCTGAGAAGGCTCAAGCTGCTTCCTTTTTGAAGTGGAATATTTTAATCTCGATGCCTTTTTTTTTGGATTGGGAATCAAACTCAGGACCTTGTACTTGCCAGACAGGCCATTGTGCCTCTGAGCTGTATCCCTAGCCCTTGATGCTTTTTCTTATAATTTATAATATTTGCCTAAAAATACTCTTACATTATTAATCTATCATAGTTATGGTGTCATCATGAAAATTGTAGTGGAATGGGTATTGTGACTGTAGAAAGTGGGCAGCTTTGCAAATACTGTTATCTTTCATTTATTCTTTGCTTTTCCCAGCCATGGACGTGCAAGCATTTGAAAGGCTTTTGGGACCTTGCATGGAAATTATGAAAAGGAACATTGCCACCTACGAAGAACAGTTGGTCGCCCTGTTTGGAACAAACATGGATATTGTTGAACCTACTGCATGAAGCTAAAGTACGGAGCAAGAAGACCATAGTGACAGAATTACACAGTAGTGGTTAGCCCACTGAGAACGTGTTTGTGTAGATGCCAAGCATTTTCTGTGATTTCGGGTTTTTCCTTTTTTTACATTTACAACGTATCAGTAAACAGTAGTGATTTAATAGTCAATAAGCTTTAACATCACTTTCTCTAATGAGTAGTTAATAAAAAAAATCAGCATATTGATTAATGACTTTTTACTCCACAAAATTATTTGAAAGTTTTATTTAAATGATTGTAATATATTGAAAGTACCCATGTTCAAGAAAACTAAAAGATCCTATCTTAGGCAGTGTGTGTTTGACTTAAATGCGTATCATGTTAGTGACTGTGCCCATGAAGAGGGGATCGTGCTCCGCGGTGTGGCACTACCTTCCTTTTATAACTCATTAGACAGTAAAATTTTAATCGTTTTCATCTTAAAGTTTTCCTGGCTTGATAAGTTGTGTGCTGGCCTTGGCCTGTTGGCAACATGGTATGAAATATCATATGCAATTTTAAAACTTTTTATATTTTTGCAATAAAGTACATTTTGACTTCTTTGGCATAATGTCAGTGGCCAGTGTATTCCATTGGTTTTCAGGACTGGCAGCTTAGTGCTTATGATGATTGGGAAGAGTCTTTTAAAGATGAGAGTTCATTAGTGCACTATTTTCCTCATCAAGCATGTATATTTCTGCTTTCCTTTTGCATTTTGCAACTTGCTGTATTCTTTACTTTCAACTTTGACATTTAAAGTTTTTTTAAAGCTATCTAAACTTGTTAAACTTGGTTTTTATTGTCTTCTAAAAGCCCAAGAGCTTACATTTAAAGAAAAATCCTGCTTTATCAAACATACATGGGAACCCTAACGTAGATTTCTGTATACTTTGCTTGGCTCTGCCTCATGGGTTTCTGACTTCCATCTAGCGGTTGCCAACCCACAGACTGATCAGTGGCCTGCAAGAAATAATTTCTCAAGGTCAAAAGAATAAAATTTTATAAGTAAAACCATATAGAACAATAAAAGGAATTTCGTTCATACCAAATAGACCATTAGCGGTGTGCCTGCCTGGCAAGTGTAAGCTCATGAGTTCAATCCTCGGTTCAAAAAACAAAAAAGATGTAAGCCTTTTAAGCCTTGCCTTCTGCTTCAATGCCAACTCACACTTAAAAGTACAGAAAACACAAACTTCTAGATTTTCACTGACCACTGACATGCTTACAGAAGATGCCATAGAAGATGAATGTAATTATATTCAACCAAAACAATATACTATGAATCTTAGGCCATGACCCAGTGTTTGTAGACATTAATCCCAACTAGTTGTTTGCTTTTAAATGGGCAATTTCATTTTGGGAAATGTGTTTCAAAAGAATATTCATGGGTAAAATTACTTTGTGGCTATTGTAGTCTTGTTAGAGAATGCGTATGGTCCTCCTTGTATATGAAAACATGGCTAGGGTGTTCATGGATAATGTATATATAAGAAATTAAAGTATGTAAATTGTAACTTCAGCCACATTTTAGAAAATTGTTTAATATCTTTGCCAAAACCTTCGTGAAGGATGTGGGAGCCTCTCTACACAAAGATGACTTGTTTACTATTTTAGATTTTAAAAAGCCATGTCTGTAAACAAGGCAAAATACAAACAAACAAAAACTACCCAGACTTTTTGTGTGTCATTCTGTATTCATTATTCACTTTTTCAAATTAATCTGTTTTGTTGCATAATCTGATTGTTAACTGTCATGGAACAGTAAATAAATGCCTGTTTAATAAAGAACTCTAAGGCCACAAATGCCAGTTATGTTATTTTCAGTATTGTTGGTTATATTTAAATTTTCCTTATAATAAAGCACTCTTTTTATAATAAAATTATGAATTACTGTTTTTAATACTTTTTGTGCTTACTGAAACTCATATAGCACATAAATGCAGTGAAAAGCATGATAGACATGTGCCATGCGGACGCTAACACAGCCAGAAAGTGCAGTGTGGTTTTGTTTGGCAGCGGGGTTGTATTAAAATTTTACCTATTAATCATACGTGACAAATAATTGTGGTATGTTACACATTTGGCCATTTATGATAACAAATCTTGCTAACTAGAAAATATGCATGTAAAACTATCTAATTAAACTAGCTCAAGTTTGACTTGTGGATTTCATTATTTATACGAGCACAGGCCTTCCTGTTTGAGAATTCCATACTGAAAGTTTCACTACAAGTTGCGGCCACTTGATGCCTGTTACGTGTGGCAGGAAAGTGTGAGAAATTCTTCCCGGAAAACAAAGCTACTTCCCCGTCTTTGTTTTCAATACGTACAAAGTTGGTGTCTGTATTTTCTGCACACTAATATGAATTAGAGCTTTGGACATATATACACCTGTGACAATTGGGTGGATAATTGGGTTATTGTTACAACCATGATTTGTGACCATTTCAAACGTTTTAAAATGCTTCAATGAAATGGTATGAAACAAGGCTTTTGGATTTTATTGAAAAGTGTAAGACTTAAGAAAAGTGCTGAGTTACTTTTTGTTACAAAGCATCTTTGAAACTAGTGAGAAAACCCCAGTGGGGTAGGGCAGGCATAAAATCCCAGTAGGAGGAGGCTGAGACAGGAGGATTGCTAATTCAAGCACCATCTTGGTAACTCAGTGAGATGGTTTCGAAACAAAAAAATAAAAAGGCCTAGGATGTAGCTCAGTAGGAATCCTCAACACCGACAGAGAAAATAAAATTCAAGAAGTATTATACTTATTAAAAGGAATAGAATATCTTTAGAATTATTAAAATAACATATAAGCTTGGAGATATATCTGGATTAAGCCAAGACTTTGTTCAATAGCTGGAGAGAGGATTCTATATCTACATAAGATGTTCACTCCCAAGGGAGAAACAGTTAATACAAAAATCGAAAGGAAAGTAGCCTGAGGTACAGCCTGAGAATGCATGTTAGGGAATTTTGACAGAAAGGAAGAAGTTAGAATAAGAGTTGAGACAGCCTTACGTGCTCGGTAATAATTTTAAGCAGTGAAACCGGCTGAGCAACTAAAGAGTTGCCTGTCTTCATAGGTATTAAAAAAACACCTTAGTGTGACGAGAACAGTGTAAGATGCAGGCACACCAGTTACTTGCATAGGACTTGTGTGCTCAGCAGTAAGTGTGAGAGATCAGTTCAGGTTGTGGGCCAGCGGGAATCGGGGACTTCAGAACCTTCTGAGTTGACAGAACTCATAGAGAATTGAGAGTGCTTGGTTTCTTGGCCAGTTCTTAGGCATCTTGGCCTATTAGCATAGTATATATAGAAAATTAGAATACTAATTATTAACTTTATACATAGATTTGTCTGTTTCCAATGCAGAATAATTTTTTGATTTCTTTTTTTTAGAAAAGTAACTGAGATGAAAATACTTCATTTGACCAACAGATGTGAGTCTAGCTTTTTGTGCTTCAGGTTTATAAATCTAAAATTGCTTTGAAAAGCCTCAAGATTTATCATCTGTACATGTGAGGTATGATACAAATGATTTGCCTAATCTATAAAAACAAAATGCCTCATTCTGGGGAGGTAGTTTTTTATTTAACCATAGCGTGATTTCCCAAACATAAAAAAGATTGTACAATGTGTATATATGAACTAAATATTTGGTTAGCTCTAATTGTTTGATTCTGGCATTTTGGTGTATTTTGTTTTAAACTCAACTAGAAAACAAAAAGTGACTTTTATTCTGGGCACAAGAGAAAGTAAGTACAAATTGGACTTTGAAACAACAGCAGTATCCTTGGCTTATTAATGCAACAATCCAGATGTGAACCATGAAGTATTTTGTATATTTGACTTGAAATTTACGGAGTAGGTCCCCTGAATGAGTTTATGCAGCAAATGTACACAGTCAGAATCTTGGAGAGAATCACTTCTAACTGCTTGAAAACCCACTAGAAAATCAACCAACTTTGGGGTTTCACCATCTCTTTTAGGAAAAAGGCTGATAATTTTTTACATTGAAGTAATACTTTGAGATAAAGTGCTAGTAATGACGTCTGGTAATTTTTCTTTCATTATTGCTCTATAAAGCTCAGTTTAAAAATGTCTTGGGGTTGAGGATATAGCTCAATGGCACAGCACCTACCTGGCAAGCATGAGGCCCTGAGTTCAATTCCTGGTTAAAGAAAAATGTCCTCGGCCAGGTGTGGTGGCTCACACCTGTAATCCCAGCACTTGGGAGGCTGAGGCAGGATTGTTGCGAGTTCAAGACCAGCCTGGGCTACCAAGTGAGCTCAAGGCCAGCCTGAACTGCATAGTGAGACCCTGTCTCAAAAAGACAAAACAAGTCCTCAACATCTTATTGCTATAATGTGTTATGCTGTGCTGTGTAACTTGAAGGAGTTGAAGTGTTAATAATTAGACAAATATTTTGTTTGCATGATTGATGCTTGTGAGGGAGACAAATGAATACTGCTTATATAATGTAGCTGAAAGATAACTGTTCTCAAATAATAGTACAAGTCGAATATTCCTTATCTCAAATGTGTGGGACCAGAAGTGTTTTAGGTTTCAAGAGGATTTTGGGTTTGGAAATACTTGCATACTTCACATATTGAGCATCCCTGATTGGAAAATTGATCTCCAGAATGCTTGAAATCTGAAATCTGATGAGCACTGACATGACACTTAGAGCATTCTGGATTTTGGGTTTTCAGAATTGGGATGCTCAGCTTACAACTAAATTGAGGACATGATCTTAAATGTTTGTCAGTGTGCAAAGCAGCATGTGACATACAGTGATACTGCATACTCAAAATTCATGCTCCTTATTTTTCCCTAACTTCTCACTAGTATGGTCAGCAAACATCTGTTTGCTTATTATGGACCAAACAAAAGACACTGAGCATTAGTGAAAGAAAGAAGAGAGAATACAGATGTGGCAGGGACCATACTAGCAAACATACCAACTTTGAAACCTTACGTCCAATTTTAATGGTTACCAGATTTACTTGCCCCCAACCTGAGGTACCTTTGACTAGGAAATGAAAGAAAACGCTTAGTGAAAACCCTAGAATACAAATTAGTCGTGAGCGGAAAATAATATTGCTGTTTGTGTTAAACAGATCAGATAAATTATTCTAGAAAACATTGTGAAAGACTTAAGACATCATCTGAGCTTGATTTTATGAAACATGAAGTAGAATTATTGCGCTCTCTAGTCACATTTTCATTAATGCCAACTTGGACAACTTGACAAATTTTTTTATTTTAAAAAGAATAAAACCAAATGAAAAAACAAGAAAAAAAATGGGGTCATTCAAAACATAGTACATGATTTAAATGGACATAGTACATGATTTAAAATCACAATGCAAGGTGATCTACAATGGTTACTATGTTTCTTGTTATCTTCAATTAAATTGCCCATATCATCAAGTACAATAAAATTGAATGTAGCAGTACAGAGCCAAATCAATAAAAAAAAACATTGGAGATATTATAGGACTTCAAAAGAGGGTAAATAGTCAAACCAGAGTGGGAATCATAGTGAATCTTACTGTCTTCAGAGTAGTTGCCTATACTCTCAGCCTTGATACTATCAAACATAACAGATTCGAATAAAATCAGTCAAGACAGCAATCGAACAAAACATTCAAAATCAGTCAAGACAGTGAAAGCAATACAGGGTTTCAGATTGAGTTAATAGGAAATTAAAAATGGTTACCACAGTATATCCTGCTATCTTTGTGACAGCTGTCAGTGCCCTCAAGTACAAGTAGACAAACTGGAACAGAATACAACCAAACTAAACAGAGTAATGAAAACAATATGGGTTTCAAATCATGATACAAGACTAACAATGTCCTCTGCCTTCCGTTTTAGGACAATTCCTCCAGTCTCACTTTCCCAAAGTGCATTGTACATTTTGTATCCCACCAACTCTTATAAGTTTTTAGGTTAGGGAGGCAGCCCGCTATTCACCTAAGTGATCCTGAACCTTTTTACCCCTGAGCATGATCTCCAGTTATATCCATTTATCTACAAGAGCCTCAAAGTCTTCCTTCCTTATATCTGAGTAGTTCTCCATTGTATAAAAGTATCATGTCTTTCCAACCAATCTGCAGCTGATGGGTAAGGTTTCTTCTGGTTCCCTGTCACATAGAGCATTATTTTCTCATCTTTGACTTTCAGTCCATAAACCCTCTCTCAGGTTAATTATATTGCTTATATAGAGCATCTTGATGGACCTGATCTCCTGATCCACCCTGCCTTTTTATTAATGTATGAGGCCATCCATTTTAGAGATTATGGCCAACCTTCTCTGCCATGCTATTTTTCTGTCCTTGTCTGTCTACTTTTCCCCTTCATTCCACTGTCTGCCCCATCCAGTGGGGCAGCCCCTCTGCTGCTGTGCCTGAAGCTGTGGTCTTTTTTCTCTCTCTCTCCTGAATGTCCTTCAGTATTTTTTGTAGGGTTGAATTGGTGGTCATGAACTCCCCCAGTTCCTCTTTGTCATGGAAGAATCTTGTTTTTCCATTAATTTTGAGAGAGAAGTTTTTCAGGGCACATCAGTCTGGGTTGGAGGTTATTTTCTTTCAGGGCTTGGAATACTTCACTTCAAGCGCTTCTTGATTTGATGGTTTGTGTCTAGAAGTCTGCCATGATTCTGATGGGTTTTCCTTTATAGGTGATCTGTTTCTTTTTTCTGACAGCTTTTAATATTCTGTTCTTGTGTTGAATTTCTGGGATCATTATTATATGTCTGGGTGTCAGTCTATTTTGGTTATAGCTGGTTGGAATTCTGTATGCCTCATATATCTGAATATCATTTCTTTTTTCTATGCTTGGGAAGTTTTCTGTAACTACTTGTGTAAATAGCCTT